GCCAGTGTCCTTTTAAAGGGGAAAAAGAGGGTGCAGATATTTTCACAATGAGTGAACTTTGGATGCAGTATGATTCTGCAACAAATTCTGTTTAGAAGTGAGCCCAAGTCACATACTAAGGCCTCCATCTTTTGGCAGTCCTTCAGCTTTAAAGATCAGATTTTCAAAACTGTTCAGCTGTCATAGATAATGCAGTACCATCCAACACTTGGCCATTCAGCTTCTGGCCTTTATTGCACCAAGTCTTTTATTCAGAAAGCAGATTTCTTATTAGTGTCATCTGTTAAGCCAGGAGAGAAAAAATGACTTTCCCTGTAAAAGATATTTTTCAACAGTGCATTCAGAAGTGCTAATGTTAATGTGTTTTTTCATAGAGGATCTATTTGTGGAAAATATAGGTTTGGCAAAAATTTAGATATATATGGCTTCTGAGATTCTTTTTTCTATCAACTACCAGCTATATACACATGAACAGTGACTTGGAAGCAGTACACTATTTTAACTCAGTAACAGAAAGGTGAAGGACCTGAACCAGGCTTTGTTATCCAGGATGAACCACTGTGGAGATTGCAGTATTACTTTATTGAGCAAGTCCAACCATAAAAACTAGGTGGTCTTGCAGGTGTTCCAATCACAGCATTTCTAAGTATAAAATAACTGGCTTTCTTGAAACACCTCACACATTACTAAGAGTGCTGCTGATATGTTCAGTGAGTCTATCTTTAGCCATGGTTTTGCAAAAATGGGCAAAATGAATGTTGTTACCAGCCCTTCCCATCAAAATCAGTCAATGCTTTTCCATTACAATGTCCCATTTAAAGCTACTTAAAAGAAAACTTCAACTACTGAATCTGAAGTTCTTTTTGTTGAGCATATGCATCTTAAAAACAAATCAACAACTAAATCAAAACCAACCAAACAAACAAACAAACAAAAAAAACATCCCCTAGACAAAAGATGAATTCCAACTTTCCCCCTTGTATTCTGCTAGAAAATCATTATTCCATAAGACAGAAATAGAGGTGGGCAACAGAATGAAAAAGCTGAACTAAGTTCAAGCCAATGCTTGATTGTGACTCATCTCTGTTCATGAATAAGGATGAACCAAGTCAGTGCAAGGTTTCTGGCATTATTTCCTTATCATCAAATATGTTTGATTTTTCACATATTTGTCATCAGTTCCTTTGGCTTGGATTGTTTTTGGCTGATGGAGATAAGCTAGACCCTTGATTTAACTCAGCATTTAACTATCTAGCTCACTGAAAGAGAAATATTCTGCATTCAACCACCTTTATATGAGGAATAACTTATAGCAGAAAAAGAGAAAAGACAGTATGAGAGTTCTGTTCAAAAAATTCAGACTTTTGCTGAGAGGAGGAGGAATGAAAAACAGACTATAGGCCAACTTTCAAGCTGCTTAGGCTCTTGCAGGTCACAGTGGTTCTCCAGAAGAAAAGAATCAGGCTACTTCAGAGTTTACATGGCCCTAATCCCATCTAGTTCCCCTGTAACCTATCACTTATATGAACTTTATTTAGCAATGTTGGGTAGAGGACAGCAGAAGTAGCACTTGTATTTCCCTCTCCTTGTCTCTGCTTGTGGAATGCCTCTCCAGAGTCCCAGAGTAAGACTGCTACCAAGAAATAATGACATAAGTATGCTGCCTCGCTGTCATACAAGATGGCAGTATGAACCCTAACAGGGTCATGGAAATAGTGTAAGGAGCTATATCAATAAGCTCAGAGGCCATCAGTGACCATTACTCTTCTTATCATTTGAAAAAAAAGAAAGATAGGCTGATACTTATTTGGTATTAACAAATAAATGGATCATATTAATTGTGTACTACACATATAAACTGTATCTGTAAGCAGTGGATCAATAGATGTCAGGAGCTCAAGTGTGTTTTTATGTAGTGATATACACACAAACATGGTAATTTACAAGAACTGATATTTGTCTATAGTCTTCAAGCTCTTTCTCATATTTTTAATTGAATGAATGATTTAGCTTTCCTAACAATGTATCAGCCTCTTCTACAAGAGTAATTACGATATTCACAATTTAATATGCAGTTCAGACGCAGAGGAATATGACCAAATCTGTACAAACATTTACTAAATTAGTCAATTTTTGTTCCCAGAAGATATGGAAAAAGCTCTGGCCATCTTATTTTACAAGACAGCTGGACTAATGCCATTTGCTGAAAACGTTTTAGAATGAATCCTGACATTTTTCATCAAATAATTTACTGTTTTTTACTGAAGACTTAGGTATTCAGATAGTCTGACAGTTGCTTGAATGTGGTTTGAAGAATATTGGCACTAATCACTGAATAAATTATTAGAAAATATATATCTATATATTTTATATTCCTAGCCATTTCCACCACTATTTGTCAGTTCCTAGTTTTTCATGACAAAATCCACTAAAACTAAGAAGCACTTTTAGCTCAAGAAGGGTGTTAACTTGCAGTTTGTGTTCTTTTAGTAAACAAAACCAAACAAAAATATTTTTACAAATGTATGCAATAAAAATATTAGAAAACATTAAATAGATTTAAAATATGTATTATTAGAAATCACCATTTTGGCAGATATTGCAAGGGTATAATTATGGGGCTGTCATAAAGATGTGTAACACACTTAATCACATAGCTGATCTGATGCTCACCCTCAACTTTCACTACCAAGAGAATAAATGTAAAAATAATACCAATAAAATAATACTCTATTTTGTTTTAAAATATGCTGTTAGATTATGTTTCTCTCTCTTTTCATTCATGACCCCTGCACTGCAATCTAATCTGCAAGCACTCGCATAGCGAAATCAATGATTTTGCACACATTTGGGCTTGCTCACATATATCAGTTCAAAGAACCAAATATGACAATATCTGAAAGTAAAAACAACTACGTCCTTTCAAAAGCACAGTCAGAATTTTTTTTGCAAGATTGTCTCACATTCTTATGTTCCGCTGAATAGCGTTTCATCTCTCTCACTGATATCACAAAGGTTTCTATTCTTCATCAGAGAGTAGATGTGCACAGCAGGAATGGTTGGAGCAGGATATCCAGTCTTGCTGGCCAGCATATCTGGGCCAGCTAGGATGGAAAAGTAATCCTGTGCTGAATAGACAGTAACAGATTGCTTCCTTCTTGTAATAGAGGGAGGAGCAAAACACAAACCGTAATTGAGAGCTACTCTCTGCCCAATCTGACCTGGGGAAGTGGACAACCATAGATTGCTGCTGAGTGAGTTTAAGGCAACTGGCCATACTGCAATTTAATTCTAAAGAGCAAACAGGTAGAGCTTTTCAGAGCCTTTCTTTGCCATTTTTAACAATATCGGTAAACACATTGTGGATATACTATTAACATTCAGGTTCATTGAGACAGCAGTATCCTATTGATAGTACCTTAAATCATCTCTTTTTTGTCTGCTTGCATGAAAATTTAGATGTTGAAATGTGTAAAAGCCCTAAACAGAAGGCATGGATATTAACTCATTCTCAATACATGATTGTTTCAGAATCCATTGTTTTTATCATAGCCTTGCATTTCCTTATACTAAGTCTCTAGAGTGCAGAGAAAAAGGGAAGATCAGAGCAGACAGATCATTTTGCTGCTAGCAACAGGCTGCCTGGGGACTTTTAAGTGCAGTAGATTAAGAAAATGTTTAGTGACTAATATGATTCAGAGCCCAGTTAAGTCTGTGAAAGCCCTAAGAGGCATTTATGGCAAACTTATTTTTGTTATTGTTTCTGTTTATCAAGGAAAATTCAGGTCAAATGAGCGTCTTATTTTCACAAGTCAAATCTTTTTACCTGTTTCTCAGTGCCCTTTGAAACTGATTAAGTTCTTTAGGTCTCAAAAGTATTATGTCTCCAATTTTGCACCAGGAACTTTAACTATAAATCTCTTGCCATCACATTATTTTTAGTGAGTTTGCATGGAGGAATAGTTCAGTCTTTCAGCTGGCCCTTCTACTACAACAGCTCAGGCTAGTGACAAGCTAATAGAAGCAGAAGTCAGGATTCAAGCAGTCAGTGGCAAAGGCAAGGCCCAGATGAGGGTCAGAAGATCCATTCTGCAAAGTGGGGATGTCAAACAAAGAAGGCTGCCGCAGTATTATTAGGCAGGCTGTTTGGCAGCAGGAAACAGCTGGGACAGAGGGTAGGATAGAAGGACAAAGATCCAAATGTCAAGATCAAGAACCAAGGCTGAAGCAGACAGAAGCACGTTAGGCTTCAGGATCACAGAGCCCCACTAGTGCCACATGCAATACACTGGAAAAAACATCTACGAGTGCAGAGCACAGCACTGTGTCGGCTGCTGCAGGGAAAGTTAACTCCATAACGGATAGACCCAGCACAACATCAGTCAAGATTTCAGGCCAGTATCTATGTCCGTGGGGGACTGACTGTGGCCAGGCCATTTGACTGTTCGGATTGACAGTGATAAGATATCTGAGTATCCAAGTGAGGTTTGGAAGAGAGTTCATGCATGCCAGAATTGCTCAAGAATAGGACTTCATAGCAGTACAGTCAGTCAGACAAGTTCTTAGTACATGGTCATGTGTACTAAGAAATATGTGTAATGGCACACAGCAAAACACAGTAAGACACCTTTCACTTTGGCTTTGAAGGCTAGAGCACAAAGGTTTCACGTGAAGTAGTAAACCCTGTTCACTGGGAAAGGGTTAGGAGATAAATACAGAGTATTGTCCCTGAGATACTTGGATTTACAAATAAAACCTGAAAGTTACAAAAAAAAAAAAAAAAAAAAAAAAAACACATCTAAATTGGTCTGGCATCATTCTAAACATTTTCAAGTTTTGCAGAACATTAGAAAAAAATAATTATGAGGATTGTTCTTTGAAAATACCTCTCTCAAAAACAAAGAAAACAACCGACCTAAAAGGTATTTTTTTTTCCTAATTCTCCTAATATACATAGATTATCTACTCTCTGCACCACAATGGGATTTACACCTCTTTACCTTTGTGTGTGATCTGAAACCCAGGAATATCGCATGGTCTAGGAGAAGCACTGGGTGAATCCAAGGATCTGCTTTAAAAAAAAAATAAAATAACAATCTTGTTTCTATTTCTAGAAGATCACATTGCAAACTAAACCTTCATATTGTGTAAAATAGCACTTTGAAATATGTTTTAAAACACTTGAAAGTCTAAGTGAACCATTCGAATAAGCAATAGCTTTTGGGTTGGGAACTTGCTAATTGAGGAGTGTTTAATTTCCAAAATAGCTGTCCTTTTAAGATGTACTTAAAAGTCATTATAATCTAAAAACTACCTTGTGATAATAGAAAATAAATAGCTTCATTCTAGTTCTTCACAGACTGACTTCTGTCATTGTGATTGCAATTAGCTATCACGTGGTATTGTGACTATGAGAGTCAAAGAATGAAAGTAAACAAATATTTTCTATAGTAGAACTGTAAAACACAAATTTATCTGTATTGGTAAAGTCTGGGCAAGCAGCATTGCCTACAGATACACTGTAGATGTTACTTTAACAGGCATCAGCGAGACAGGAGTGACTTCTATGAAGCTTCCTTCTCTTTTGAATAGGTGGGAGCAGGCTCCTCTGGCCTCTGCCTCTTCATAGTCATGCCAATCTGTCTGATCATCTGTTCACGGGCTGCTCTGCAGAATAATTCCAGCAGTTCCAGAAGTTTCATTTATCTTACCATTAAAACAATGTTGTATGTAGCTGTCACACTGAATAATTTCAGAAATAAAAAGTATATTCTACCAGAAAAATCAGTTACTGAAAACCACTCAGTGTTCACCTGTTTGCTGAATTACATGTATATTTAGTCAGGGAGATTGTGCTTATGGGCTTCATTAAATATATAAATATGTTAACATAAATGTGTTTCTCTAAAATGTTTTAACCTAGCTGCTTAACTATAGTTAGTTTTGCATAATGCTGGGCACTGAAAACTTGCTCACACTGGGAAGCAAGTTTGTGTCCATGGCCAGTTTCTAGAACTGTTCTGAAATTACAAACAGCCACAGGAGCCTCCATGGGATAAACACATCTCATTTTCAGCTCTGGCTTGCAAATGAGCTTATCAGGAACTGCCACAGATGATAGCAACACCAAATGCTTTTAAAACTTGAGCATGTTTTTTCCAGACCTGCTGTGCAACCAGGGATCCAGGTATTTGTGAAAGATGAACAGGAAACTCATAGAAAGAAAATTACTATCACAACTCATTTATGTAATTGAGTTTGGTATTTAGGTATGCTATCATACAAAATTGTATTTTTCTTTTTATTTATTTAATAATCAAATTTGTGTTCATAATATCAAGATACAGGATCCAATATGTATAGAAAGCTACTTCTTGAGGTTTATAAGATTTCATCAGTGTTAAAGGTACTTACCCTTTTGCTTATCCCAATATCTTGTAACAGTCACCAAGGAAATTGTTATCATTCGGAAGCATAGCACCTAATTCTGCTTTATCACTGAGCTACATTACACTTTCCAAAAATAAAATCCAGATTATACACCTTAGTTTTAAAACCTTAATGTTCCTTTATAATACACTCCAGGAGTGATCAGCAAGCTGATCTTAAATTGTTTCTGAATTTTAAATATGAAGGAAAAGGTGGTTACTTGAGATACTTAGGCTTAAAAGAGATTACACTGAAAGTAATACAAGATGAAATCAGAAGTACAGCTATAATTTAATTTTCTTGGGAGTACCACCACTGGAACCATAAATAAATTCACAAGGACTTTGGAAGACTAAATGAGCTTTCCTGCTATTCTGAAGAATCATAAGAGCCTTATGTAAGAGAAGGCAAAAGAGAAATTCCAAACAGGTTTTTCCATCAATTTTGAGTTAAGGGTTCATGTTCATGCACTACTTATTAAGGTGGGACAGTACCAGTTTTATTTCCAGACAGGTCTCTACACTTAAATAAATATATACAATTGTAATGTGTGCCCTTCAAGTAGCCAGGTAATGTTACTATTTTCACTTAGAAAACACATTAGAAGGTGCAAATACAACCACAAGAATAGGAGAATGTAACAGGCATACAGAAAAATTTCCAATAAAGCAGGGTTGTCTGCAATCTGTTGTCACAAAGATGCCAGTAAACTAAAAGTAGTCAAAAATATTCAGGATTAGAGACCTCAATACAACATCCATTTGCTCATGACCATCCTTCCCCTGCTTTTTCTGCTTAGTGGCCTTTTAGTGGTATTTTTAAGTTTTATGATTGTGCTTCTACTTTCTATCTAAATGCACACAAGAAGTGGGAGGAGCAAAGGGGATACTAAATAGTGGAAACCCTGCAAAATCATCAGATAAAAAATTTAGCAAATAAATATCTGTAGTAGGCTCCATTACTCATGTTACTGGGTGGGCATGTGTTCACACACATGGGCTGCAGCCACAAGTAAACGCTTATTCAGTTAGGAGCTGCACAGCCCAGGTCTGTGTCTGTTCACAAGAGGTGATACTGCCATAAGGGAGAAATGTGCCATGGAGTGATTAGGCCATACTGATCAGAAGAGAATGAAAAGTTCACGCTGAGGAGCAGAACTGGGCCTGCGGTAAAGAAGATCACCATTCTGTCCAAGGTCACCACTCATGAACTGGGCCAGATTAATTCAGGGTGGAAAAGACCTCTAAGATTAACTAGTCGAGCACTAACAAGACCACCACTAAACCATGCTACTAAGTTTTACATCTACGCGTTTTTTTAAGACCTCCAGGGATGGTGACCTAACCGCATCTCAGGGCAGCTTATTCCAATGCTGCACAACCCTTTCAAGTATATCATCAGAAAAATAGCTTCTCCTGCATTTTTCAATGAGATCTTGGGACTAATCTATCTATTCAAGAGGCACTACAGAACTCCATAAAAATAAACAAGAAATCAAACAGAACTACAGAACATTTTTCCTGGAACCTTCAGAAAACAAATTTCTGTAATTTCTCAAAGAATTTGCAGTATGAAATTTACAGCAAGTATAATATATAGTCTGTAAAAAGAGAACGTGAACTTCTTTATTTGCCTTTGAGAGGGAAAACAAGTAATAGTTTACCTCTCTCATGTCTTACCTGAGAGATGAAAATTTCTCCTTTTTCTCATTCTTCAAAGCTCTACTTACTGTGTCAATCCCAGACAACAACTCAGTTATACTTATTCTCTCTATGAAAAAGGTAAGTAATATTAAAAAAGAGTTAGAATATATTAATTTGTATATTTATAAGCACAGCCAGCCCAAGAAAGCCAAGAGAGACACCAAGTCATTACGTTTTTGTTATTGTTTTTGTTTTTGTTTTCAGTAAAGAAGAGTATGAGAAATTTCTCAGGGAAACTACAAACATATGCACATACGGCAAACAGACGTTCTCTCCAATGTCACTCTGCAATTAATTTTGGACTCCACACTATTATGCAAGTGGACCACACACTCCACACAGCTCTGTTTTATATTCACAACCACGGTGAAAACTAAAACATTTTTAAGCACAAAAATTGCTTTAAAAAAGATCTTTTTAGAAATGTACACATAGAGCAATTGTTTTAGAAGAGCCAAAGATAGCAATAGCTTTCAAAAGACTTCAAATACATACACTATATAAGTACCGTTTCTTTTTCCCTCACGTGTCCTCTCCCTCCACAAGTTTTCCTTAAAAAAGTAAAATTGTTCCCTCAGTATTTACTTCCCCATATTAACATACTCTGTTTCTTTTTTAATTATTTGTGTGTGTGTGTGTGTGTGAGTGTGTGTGTGTGCTGCTTTCCATTTTGTACTGTGTTCCCTCAAAAGCAGAGGAAATTGGGAACTGTTCCTTTTAGTACCCATGTAATCACAATACAGTGCATTACGGGAAAAGTAGAACTGAGTATGTTCATTCTTCCAAGCCCCACCAGACTGGTTCAACACACTGGCAAACTGATCATTATTTAAGTCTCTCTCTTGCAAACATCCATACTTTTCAGAGAGATACAAAAGTGTGAAAGAAACAAATTAGGTCCCTTAATTCCAGAAAAGCAAATTGGAATACAACAAGCATGAGCTGTAATTTGAAAATAGAAAATATAGGCAGAAAAAATCAGACTAGTCCAGAAATCAGTCAACTCCAACAGATCCTGTGAGCTCCTCTCAATTCACTGCAGCAGATGCAATGCAGCACATGCAATTTCCACCCAGTAACAGCTCGCTCCTGTTAGCCCGGCAACATGCCCATGTAGTCTTCCCACACTGAAGTATCAGACAGAAAAAAATTACCACCAAATGATGAATCTCCAGTAGGTGGAGTGCCAAAACCCCAGGAACAGTGCTGGTATCTTGATATGTACCTAGTTAGAAGTATAAGTTCCCTATACAAGTATAATATTTTGTACTTCTTAATATATCATTTTGATTTCATAGATCATTCTTTTGCATTTGCAATGTGAATACATTGATTTCAGACAGGTACAACATATTTTTCACTTTCAATGCTGTAAGTAAATTCACATAATCCACAGGGAGACTTAGGTGGGCTCCATATTTCTGGAGTTCTCTGTATTTCCCTAGTTTTGTGTTCAGTAAGTTTATGCATTTTTACAAACACTGTAATGTTTGTCTTGGAATGACCCTAAACCCCACCTCCTCTGAGTTGTACAACGTTCCGACTCTTTGATCTTCTGATTATTAACATATCATTAGCTCCTCAATCAACAGAGAATTTTCCATGGAAAATATGAATTTCAAATGTAGAAACCAAGCAGAAAAATCCTCTCTTTGGCATACAGCTTTCAAGATTTCTTTATGTATCATCAAATACACAAAAAGGTTTACAGCACATCTTTCAACATGCAGTGCTACTGTTCTGAATGCCAGGTACACATCTTTTATAAGACTTAATATTAGTGTTAATCTAATGGCTTTTCCAGCTGATATAGTCTTTCCTCTTTGCATGCAAGTTTGCAACATCTTTCTCACGTTTTGGCACTTTCATTTCATACTTCACAGTTTTATTAGCACTTTGAGCTTTGAAAGATAGCTCATTTATTTGCTATACCTAGATGCCACAAAACTTTGAATACACTATATAAAGATTTAGAGAAAGATAGTGATGGAGTACAGTCAGACACAGATAATTACCTTGATAGGATTCCAGAAACTGGTGCAGTATAATTGCCTTTTGTCTAGAATACCAAAAACAGCAGTCCTGCCAGACTGCAGATTCATGTCTACAGTTTTCCTGTCTGAAAACTTCTTCATTGTATTGTTTGTTGAAAGATCAACCATGCTGATACTAATGCACAGGATACAGTGGCAGGCGATGACAAAAGTTCCATCAAGACTATGTGTAATTGTCCTTTAATATATTTCTTTTATATTGCCTCTGTACTACTATACAGTTGTATAAAAACAAGCAAGAATGGTTGCAGGCTTCCTCTGGCAGAGATTCCCTCCCAGCCACCTCCTAAACAAGGAGTATTTTAGGTCACTATCATTCACTGAATCCGCTATCTCTTTCTCATTACCTAATTTCAAGCCAACCTTTTTCTTCACCTCTCTCTTCTACCCTCAGCCAGCTACTCTGGTGGATGGCAGGCTGAAATAGGTGAGTATGCAAGACCCAGAGGTGTTCAAAACTGGAGTCATTAATGTCTCTAAATGAAGGAAGAAAGTGGGGAAGAAAAAAAAAAAAAAAGAAAGAAAAAAAAAGTTACCTCAGAATACATGGTGCAAGTTCTAAACAAATCTGCAAGGTTTTGATAAAAGTTGGCCTGATTTTGCAGCATTTCTGCTGTTCTGCTCAAAGAAATATTCAATAATGATAACTCTCTTACTTACAATGCACAGGGACCTTACTTTCAAAAAGTACGACCATTTAACAGCCAGAAACATTGGCTAAGACTAACTCTAAGGCAAAGCATGAAGTCATAAAGATGCACAGATGTTACTATTTGAAAACATTAAAGAGGTACTGAAGTTCCTGAGCAGATCCCAAGTTGTGTTGATTTCAGCAGTTATGAGTCATAAGGGAAGAAGATACTACTGAAATTACATGCCTGGGACAGTTTTCTCTGCCACTTACATTTAGGAAAAAACAACAGTGTCTTTAGAAATACTTAATGGGGAGGAGAGCACTCTGAAAGACTGCAGATACCAAGAACTGAAATGAATAAATCTGCTTGCTTGTACTTATGCAGTTAAACAAGTACAATGCTAATGCATTATATATTTCTGATTATATCATGGAAGCCTCAGCAGATCCAATTTCACAAGTATATAAAAAAGGTGAGTGCTGAAGGTTACTGTAAGTTATGAGACCGATTATTTAAGGGAAAAGCTCATTTAATGGAATTTGGGCAGTTTTATAAACAGAGCAAAGAAAATGGGACTACTCACACATCCTGTGCCAGCCCTTTTCTGATAAATAAGTGCACTGAAACTTCTGAAATAGTCACTTAGGCAAGCAAATACACTCCGGATGTCTTATACTAGAAGTCCCTGAACCTTTTGTGAGTTCACTTCAGTAGCAGCTCAAGACTATCCCTACATGTGGAAACAGGGTTTTCATGCTGCACATGAAAGTTTACCACAGTGTGCAACTACATTTATGGTCACGCTATCCTGTTTGTATCTATCCTGTCCTTGTATTCCAGAAAAAAAGGGCTCCCAAATTAGCAAAATACTGAAAGAGATGCAATCCAATAACTCTTCTCACTTTGGCAATTCATGGTTTCAAAAGGCACTCTTCAGGGGTGAAGCTGAAACCTCTCAGCTGGCTGGCCCCTTATCTACTAGAGAAACAGAATTCTAACTGAGGCAGAGAAGAGCTGATACTGTCCATTCTGCAGTTCTACCAGTACAAAAAGACACACAGTAAAGGAGATAATTTAAGCTATGTTTGTGTTAATAAGTCAAGGAGCAGGGTATAAAAACTGGAAGTATGTGTTCATGAACATAGGAATTTCAGACAACTTTCTTCCCTTTCTTTGTTGTTCAGAGATTCTTCTTTTAGAAACAACTCTGCCCTAGACCACCTTTTCTCTCTGCAGAAACACTCTCATTTCCTCTCATGCCTGGAGAGAACTAGTTAACCACGTACACTTCAATACAATAGCAGGTATTCATCAAAATCTCTTTGCTGGACTTCCACTTAAGCTAATGAAATGAGTCACGACATGTACCATGTCACCTTTTTACAAAGCATTCACTGACATATTCACCTACATATAGCAGTCTCTTCCACTTTTCCTTATTAGTTGTGGTTTGACTCTAAAATGTTTAAATATCCAAATTTAAGTAAATAAATTTAGTTTCAGTTATCTATCTAAATATCTAGACAGATATTTATGGAGAAACTGTTTGATTCAGAGCACTCTAAATGAAGTGTAATCTGCCAAAGGTAGGTACATTCTACCTTGACAGAAACAAACAACAATAACAACAACAACAACAACAACAAAGGCAGTAAATAACAAATCTGAATGTAAAAACAGTCTTTAGGGCTTCAGCACTGCCAGGTAGACTTTCTCAACATTTTTATCAAGATGCAAAGGAGATATTTTTTTTTTCCTGAGAACTTGCCAGATTGCATTGTATTGTGGAACTTAGGCCACCTGTACAGAATACAGATAAAAGTCTAAAGGTTACAGATGACAGGAAGCTGGATTTGGTTTATATCTTGCAGTATTTAGTGGTTTCATCCCTTTTATCTCTAAATAAATACTTGTCAAGGCCAAAGGAGTAAAACTTGAAGGCATTTTTGCCAAAAAGCAAACAGTTTCCTCAATGGTGAATAGCTTGAACATTTGCTCTACGTAAAAGGAAAAATCAGATGTACAGATATTCTCCTTCAGAACAGGCCTTTATAGCCCTACATGAGTTTTGTTTTAGCTCAAGTAGAACCAGTGGCACTTTTTAAACTTATCAGCTGGCTAGATCAGAAAATGCTGGAAATATTTCTACAGATTCCCTTTATTATAGTGGTTTTCTTCTTCAATAGATGGATAAGGGTCATATTCAACAGAAATATATATAAAAATATAAGAAAATGCATATAAAAATATTGGCTGAAAATATACTATTTTGACAGAAACTGGCTGTTATAATATTTTATCTCTAAATCACCTGCCTTCTGCAGAAAGTTTTGGTTTTTCTTTGTTTGTTTTGGTGAGAAACAAAAAAATCCTCTCCACAATTGAGGTCTTCTAAAGATTTTTTCCACTATGCACTTTTTCTAATATATATTACTTATAAACCGGGTTATACTATGCTCACACTTTGAGAAGATTATAAAGAAGCTCACCATCTGCATACATCTATTAACTAACATAGAAAAATACCTATGTTAAATCTCATAACAACGTGGAATCATGACAAAAGAAGCAACAGTGGGCTAACAGTGAAGTGCTGAATTTCCTCCTGTTTTAAAAATTACATGTGAAAGGAAAGACTTCTCACCTTCTTGCTCTACAGTGTACTGTGGAGACAGGTAGATATAAGCCTTATAACATTTGACAGCTTTGTCAGGAAATGCACGGTTGTACATTACAGTAAGCGGTGTTTCAAGTGCCTTGTAGAACTTTTCTTCTAACCAAGAATCTTGCTGAAAATTTCTTTTTGGTCTTTCAATTCCAAACACTTCATTGTCATAAGATTTGGCATTTTCCAAAATAGAAGAAGCACTCACAGGAGTCTGAGTTGAGCCCCAGCTGCAATAAGGCACGGAAAGTTTCTGGGAAGACATGGACCCATTGCATTTCTGTTGATGAAGTAAATATATATTATTAAGACACTGATAATTTTAAATTATTTATTTCACACTAAATTATCTCTAAGCCTCTGATATAAATTTATGAAAATTTATCTCTGGAATGCCACAATATTTCCCTTCAGAAGTGAAGCTATATGAAATAACTTCTTATGTTTTAATTCCATTTAAGAGAAATTTTTGATTTTTTTCAATAAAAATCATTAATTTGTTCTTAAATAAAAAATATGAAAGAGGAATATTATAAGTTGAGCTGCAGTTTTCAGATCTTCAAACCTCTTCTGACTTTAGAATCCTTACATACAGGTTAAGCGCTGTAATATGAAAATCTTTGGCAAGAACCCATCCATCCTTGACCCAGAACTATGAGGTTAGATTTCACACCTACTTAACAGCTGATCACTTACCATTGGCCTATTTTATACAAATAGTCTTCCATTTAAATAACAGTCATTTCCATTTATTATCATCAGAGTAATTCAATTTCCTAAGGACAGCCTAATAATACGGCTGCCCCATTATGCCATGGATGAATGTAGTCAAATACTTGTAATTATATTTTTAACAAGTTACTGCTATTTAGTATTCTGCCCCATCCACAACACGGTTGGTAGCTTACAGATATGAAGTAAAGCAATCCCTGTCTTATCTAGAGAACACAGTTCAGGTCTCTGTTCTAACAAGGATCACTATATTAGTGCATTTTGTAATGCTCATGTAGGTAAAATTAATGAAGAAAAGCTTAATAGACATTCATTTTAAACACACATTCATAGGTGAATTACAGCAAAGGTGAATGTCAGTAGCAATTACAGTATTTTGGAAAGTTCCTCTTCCGTCTAAATTCTGAGCCTCATTTTGCCACAGACTATTACACCACCCTAACAAAGAAGGGGTGCATTCACCTTGCCTGAACTACTCTAGCACTAGGTGAAAACATCCTAAAGGTCTTCTGCAACCAAGCCAGTTCCTATTGGGACAGTACAAAAGGGCTGCAAAGGACTGTTCCTTTGGCACAGACAGCACAGGACCAGACCGAAGAATGGAAGTATATGAGCAGGAAAAAAAATAAATTAACGGAGAGAGGTTTTGTAGAACAGAGAACACGTTTATTTTCTTCAAAAAGAAATGTATCAATGCAGTCAGTGTCCCAGATTTTCTAGCTTCGGTTACGCACAAGTGAGTTAGAATCATAGAATCATAGAATATCCTGAGTTGGAAGGGACCCTTAAGGATCATCAAGTCCAACTCTTGACACCGCACAGGTCTACCCAAAAGTTCAAACCATGTGACTAAAAAGGTGTCATTCCCAAAAGGAATGACACCAAAATTCTCCCTTTCCTCCTGGGCACTCAGCAGATGATGCCATGTGCTTCTGCCACTGCCATGGCACCTTATAAGCCTGAGGCCCAGCCCTGGGGGAGGACTCCCTCTCAGGCATGTGTCCCACTACAGACCCACAGATCCAGACCCGACACCAACACACAGGTGGGCTTTCCGGAGCAACTTTGGGTGTATCCCATACACATGGTCCTGCCACCCCAGGCTGGCCCTGACTGCCCCTGGGGACTGTGGTGAAGGGTGCAGTGGTGAAGGGACGAGACTAGCTGGTGGGCCCAGAGCAGGCCCCCAGCTCCCCTTCTTTGGGAGCTGCTAGCCCTCATTGCACCCAACAAAAGCCATGTTTGTATTGCTCTGTATGGTGGTGCATGCTTCTCCAAGCTACTACAAGAAAGTTTACCACATCTTTTCACTGCATAAATAAAGTAGATTGATATGTTCAAGATATACTTGGGCTGCCCCTTTCCGTGTGAATATAAGTTAATACTTACTTAATAGTCAAAGTTGATGGAAAAGTGGTAAATTTTTATCTGTTCTACCATAATTTGTATCATCCAAGACCTTCCCCAAGACGTTTATCCTTAATCTGATTTTTGGTAGGTTTTTCAAAGCTTGTGGCTTCTTCCCCCACCAACACTTCACTCAAGATGCTATAAGGGAGACTTTTCATTCATCTGTTGACTTCAAGCTTTTGAAATCTTCTGGGGTCCACATCCTTTCCTTTCTCCAGTTCCCAGATGAGAAAACTATAAATGTTCAAAATCTGAATTGTCTTCTGCTTATTAAGTTAGAGGTGCTGGGTGATATTTACACTTTCAGAGCTTGTTGGCTTAATGATGCCTATCTGGATTCTAAATTGGAGAAATCACATGAGTTTTCAAGTATTTAATAAAAATCACCATAACAATGAACTGTTTGGAGAAGACGACTAGCAATTATTTGGCTGTATGTACCAAACACAGTAAGAAGTAATATTTTAAATATTGTGCAATGATGACGGGTTTTGTTCTTCATAACTCAAAAGAATCCATTCTAAAAATTATCTGCATCCTGGGCTAGTAACTTTCCAAACTTGTATACAGATGCAATCCCAAATTCAAAGCACTTACAATCAAAGACAAGCAACATTAAATGAGGGAAAAGGAAGAAAGCGCAGCTATCTTCAACTGCCTCTTCCCTAAACATTTTGAATTAATTATTTTCATGAAAAAAATAATTTTATACCAGATTTTGATGCAAAAAGCAGCAGTTTCCTGAATAGTTTGACTCAACAAGGATATGATCTTGTCAGCCATTGGAGAGGCACAAAAAATAGTGCTCGTCAAATCTGTTTTTATTAGAGGCTTAGAGAGTACTGATGAGGTAAATAGAGGTAAAAGTATATACAACAAAAATAAAGCTGTGGAAGAAACTCAAATATAGCACATAGAAAAGATAATGAATGGAAACAATGTAATTTAGTCAGAGAGACAGTAAAAGGATTGAAAGAGTATGATGGGCAATAGAGATGTTCTGGAGGGAGATGCATTCAGGTGATGAAAAACAGCATCAGTTGTTGCAGGGGATGGGTCAAAAATAAGTCAACAATATAGAAATGGCAGAGAATGCAGTGCAGAGGAAAAGCTCTTCAGGGATTGACAAAGTCCCCAGCAATCTTGCAGTACAAAAAGACAATGTACTGAAAGAGTTGTGGAATTAAGTAAAGAAGTGGACAGAAAATTGCAAGAAAGTTTCACCAAACACCACAAAAGATATCATTTTCAAAGAGAAGACTGCATTAGCAGTGTGAAGGGCATAAAGAAAATAAAGGAGAAAAAAGTGGAAGACATTGCAAGCAACTCCAAGATTTGGCTAGCTGAAAGAAATTTCAGGAAAGTATTGAGATAGGAAGCTGACTAGAGGTGACTCGTGGTGCAGCTGCAAGAACAGAAATGAAGTAAATGCCTTTGTTTGCAGAGCCAATGAATATAGATTTCTAAAGAGATGGAGCACTGGAAATTACTGATGGGACATTTGCCTACGTGTTACAGCTTGAGGTATTGTGTACAGACAGACAATTTTGGGCCCACAGCATCTATAAACTGCTTAATCAAATTGAAACACTTCTTATAGTGTATATATACCTATGGAAAACAATGTTGTGTACTTAATTTCAAATCATTTACCTGCAGAAAGAATTCTCTGTGAATGCACATCATTTCATATTGTAAATGCCCAAGTGATATATCACACTTCTCTGCATAATAATTTGTTTTATGTTTATTCAAGTAGCATAGCTTTGTTAATTACAAATAAAAAATGAATTATCAAAACAGCTCCTCCATATTAATGTGCAGTGTGATACAGAATGACTTATCTATTCTCCTTCCAGCTGCTTATACATTTGAACTATTTTGTGAGCACTAGCCATTTATATTCAGAAAACCTCAGATGAGTGATGAATATCCCAATCACTAGTTCTAACAAGAAAGTGTAATTATCCCTATATATTGTGGAAGCCCTTCAGCAGTTTTTCAGGTAATAAAAGGCAAACAATTATAAAGAAACAATTTTGTACATACAAACAAGATGCTCCTCTATAATTTTGTAGTATTATATGTAACCTGGTCAATAAGTTTACTGTATGAATGTTATTTCAGTTAAATGGCAGGCTTTAAGGAGAAGAAAAAAAATAAATAAATAGGCAAGGGTAAACCTCCTTCTAGGTAAAGAGTTGAAGAGCTTTATGAAACATTACTTTTCTAATTAACTGCAAAAATCTTTTTTCCAAGGTCTGGCTGATTTACACACTTCTGTTTACAAAGACGGATCAGTGCAGCCAGCAAACTAACAAGACTTTAAATCAGTAGATATTAAATGGTTCAGGGAATGTAACTTCCTGTATTTTCTGAGTCTAAAGAACAGGAACCAGTCACTGTATTAGCCACCAAAGATTACTGAAAGAAAAAGTTGCTTGAAAGAAAAAGTTGAAAGTGCAAAACAAAACTAGGTCTTCTCCATCTGTTTCTGAGATTAACCAGGGTCTAATGTAAGAACTGGAAAACCACATTACTTCAGAATTTACAAAACAGAGACCTAAGAAAATTTATGCAGGCTTCTAAACCCAGTTTACTCTGATGCTGACCTCAATTCAGCCCATGTTCTCACACTCCTGCACAGCTGAGCTGGACACATATCCTACATCACCATCCTCATAGTTTTGAGCCAGTTTAACTCCACAAGTATGCCTATTAAATATGCAGATGAACATTGATATTGATAGACAACAAGCAGCTCTGCAATGGGAGGGAAAAAGGACTATAGCAACTCTGACTTAAATCAGCTTTCTCTGTTTTGGAGCTCCTTCAATAGGAACAGATCAAGGAGAGAAGTGCCACCAGTGTCATAACCAAAACACCTGACAACATTTGCTAGCTTCAGATTTCATTCTTCATGATCCAGGAGGACATCGAAATGCAGTGATTTCCTGCAAGCTTAGAATGAATAGCTATTTTAAAATTTAAATAACTTTTCGGAGCTTGTATCCTTCATTTAAGAAAAAAGGATTGTGAAATGTGGCTTTCTTATCTTCCCCAAAAGTTTAATTGATTTTATGGAAATGGAGGATTGTACCTTGAGCACTATTGCTGCAAACTTTAGAGTTTTTCATG